TACCCCTGCGCGCCACGCGCCCCTTTGATCCCAGCCCGCCGCCGCGTCCACCGCCCACCTGCGCTCGTGCCCATAAAAGCGCACTGCGTTCGCCAGAATCCAGTGGTCGTGGGAGACAAGTATTTAGGAACGTATCTACTATACATTATAATATATATATAATATATATAATATATATATATAATATAATATATATAATAAATATATCTATAAACATACTATATATAATATGTATAACAAAACTGATCTTAGTGTAAGTTAGTAATGCCAAAGTGCAAGTAAGTTAACTTTAGGTCTAGAAAGTAAATTAGTTGTAAGGAAAAGCCCCGCCTCTAGCTGCTTAAGCCGCAAGGCAGCAGCAAAAAGTATAAACATTTAAAGATAATAAATTCCCCTTCTTCACAGGGTTACTGTGGAGTGGACAAAAGAAAAAAAGAGGAACGTATCTCCAAAATCTTTATAAAAAGGTAAAAGCGTCGAATAAAGACCTGATATTGCATTAGCTCTATGCAAACCCACTTCTGCGAATACATACAAACGTGATTGATGTTCCCGGGCACTTATCTACTATGGTCATTACTCACGCTAGTGTATTGACTTTTTTAATGTGAGACATTGCAGTGTTCCTCGCGCGCTGCATGATGAGATCCGGCGCTCTCAGCGCGGCACTGCTCCAGCCGAGAAGCTGAAAGCTCCCGACATACAGAATGTCCCATCATCTACGGACCTCCTCCATATCTCCTAGACGGTTCAGGATATCGAAATGTAATGTGTGTTAACCATTGTCCGCCGAATAATGCAGAATCATGGGGCAAGTAGCATGCAACTAGAACAAAAATAGACAATTTATCTAAGGCATGTTGCTTACCCTATGATTCCGTATTGTTAAGCGAAAACTGACTTTCGATATCGCGAACCGTTTAGAAGTTAAGAGGGTAACACATAGTTGGTAGAACATCCTGTATATGGTAGTGTAGTTCAGGTAATTGTAAATTTGTGTGCGTGTGAAAGGCGAGATGACAACACAACATAGAAGAAGGAAATATAGCGCGCGGTCAATGGCTCGTTTGTTACGGTACTGCTCCGGCATTCGTCTGGTGTTGATCGTTGACACCACGAAAAACTGTCTAACCACGAAAAAATTCAATCTAACTCAATAGCAAAGTGTCGAAAATTAACCACTGTCGGGGATCGACCACTAAGATCACCCACTGTGAGCTCACGTTAGTGGGTACATTCGCAAAAATGCACTGTAGTTAGTTCTAGCTCCGAAACAGCTAACGCGTGAAATGAGAATTACGGTGCGCAATACCACAAGCGTAAGGAAGTTGCTCTGTGTTTAATTTTACACATCTTCCGTAGTTGTCCAAAAGATAGTGTGCGTACATTTCACTAAATGGCCACACGGAAGTGCGCTGCGTAATTTTTTTTATTTATTTACGTCAAAATCAGTTAAAAACTGTGTGTGACGTGATATGGGAACTGGTCAATTTGATGTTCGATTGCGGAGAGGCTCAATAGCACTAACCACCTCGAACAGCTCAAACATATGCACTCACACAGCGTAATACAGAGGTGAAGTGGATATCCAATACCGTTTGAAGATACGACTTCGGCAGACTTCTAAAACAAATTTCTGAACGATCAGCGCGTGCACAAAGAAGATAGATGCGGGAGCAAATGTTCACGTAATTAACTATTAGAAAGAAAAAGTACATGAAGCGCATCAGTTGATAAGAAAATATGCAATAAAGATATGAACGAAAGGAATAAAGATGTTTTCAAAACTTGGATGGGGGTGGGGGTGCTGGTTGGGATTTGTCTGCTTCAACGCAAAACTATTATATTTGTGGATTACAGCGCAGTTCATACCAATGTTACATCTCCCTAAAACTGCACCATTCATTTGAATGCACATAGCAATGTAAGCATTAAATGAATAAGAAATAAGTAATAAAATATAGATCAGAATATTCCATTTGAAGATGTCCTCATAAAAAAAATTATTGCGAAATTCTTAATTATACTAAAATACAAATATAAGTTATATATGAACAAAGTATCTAAAACGGCACTTGCCACATGCACAGAAAACCATTACAACATTGACTTTCCAGTCTACATACACGAAGCATTATTTATTGTCACGACAACCGTCATGTTAAATCTTTCCAATGAGTCACATTATAGACTTCACAGGAGAACCTTGTTTCTTCTTGTTGAGCCATGTTCTTCCTGCGACGTCGCGAACGGTTTTTGCGAAGTTAGAAGCTTACACCGTATTTCAAAACGGAAGGTCGATGCGATGTCAGCGTAGATTGCTGTTCACCTCGATTGCAGGCTGAGCTGGCAGAGATAAGTGGGGCAGGAGGAGACGACCACCCACGGTGTTTTCATGACTTCGCACATCGCGAACTATTTCGAGGACGGCATTTCAATACTCCGCATCACAAATGTAACAGTGTTCGAAAGATCTCCATAGTTAATTACAGTATCCTACATAATGCATGTGCCCATCGTGTTCCAATATCACTAGTAATAGACCGAGCATATAGACATATATCTCTGTAGAAGTTACTAATCGATTCATAAAAACATAATTAGATCAAATCTGCTGGTCTCCGGAATACAAAAATATGTGCACATGATTCAGTATAAATATTTTTATTTTAAATGAATACTATAGTTTACGTATTTTGAAATTTATGAATAAAAGAGCACACAAAATGTTAATGAAGAAGCGCGAACAAATCATGAATAAATATGCATACCTATATTAGAAATACATTCAGGTCAGCAATAATTGCAATTGTATAAATCATTTACTAATAAATCGTCGTCTTAACGATAATTAAGCATGAAAATGATTGTGAGAAAATTATATTGCCAAAGAATGCATTCGGCGAACATACCCTTCGATATGCTTTCTCTAAATATATTGTAAATGAACTGTCACTAAAAATTTCAAAAGTTGTGATAAACATTTGTTAATAACACTTATTATTATAATTTACGTAGTAATGCAGTTTACATTGAAAAGTTGCATCATGCCAAATAAAACTAAATATACGAAAACCGTAAAAATAAATATTCGAAAGATAACACTTGTTTTTACTATTAGAATACATTTTAGAACTGTTTTTCCACAACTTTGAACATAGTCCGTAGTTAACATTTAAAGCTATTAAATGAATATTTTACTATATTGAACATGTATTGAATGTAACTAAAACAATCTCATTTGCTACTTCTTAATTGTTAATTATACGTCCAAACAAACAATTTATTTCTTAAATTTACATTACAATTATGCAAATACGAACAGATCATCAAACTGCTGCGCGTCGATTGCTTTTTTCAATATTACCTAAATGTTATCGTTCCTAGAATCCTTATCGTTCTACTGATAGCAATTCACACAAGACATTTCGATCCATCTGATGCTGGCGTCTTGCATTTGACGTGCGTGCAACCTCCATCCGTCTATCCATCCATCCGTCCACCCATCCATCCATTCCGGTTGTGTGGTGTCGTGGCTGGGAGGACAAACGCGAGAGGCTTTGTGCCAGTCCAGTAGCGCCCACGCCCTTCTCAATAGGCCAGATAAGCCCGTAGTAAAACACGTCATGTGACATTTCGAGTAGGAGCGACCTTGCCTGTCGGCAGCGACGGTGACGGCGGCGGCGGCGGCGGCGGCGGCGGCGACGGCGGCGGCGGCGGCGGCCGGTAGCGACGACGTCGTGGTGCGCTGTGTCAACCCGGAAACGCTGGGCTCCGCCCCGCGGTGCCACCCGGAGATTTCCACGAGCACTTCCGGCCGCACTGACACACTGCCA